TGGAAGGAGCGCAGAGGGGAACAAAATCTCTGCACACAAATCCGTAATGCTTTAAATCCCCAAACTTAGGGAGAAAAACAAACCCCGTATAAGATTCAGACATTAAATGACCGCAGAAAAAGAAGTCTGTCTTTTCAGTAAAAGTTTGAACACTTAGAGCAAAACATTAGGAACAGAAAATTGCTCAATAGCTTTCTTAAATAAAAGTCAGTTTGGGAGGGTTATCTATAAACAACCACTTTTTTTGTAATTTAAAACCTTGTTATAACTCCTCCAATAATCCACATGAAGATGCAATGATTTGCTCACAAATGCAAAATTAGCCTATAACACTGCAGTGGGATTCCATGAACTGTAAAGAAATTGAAGTTCCAAGAGAAGTTTTGGAAGACTTTACATCAACAGTCATTTTGTACAGGTGAGAAAACATCTTGCCTTGGACAGAGCCAACAGACAGTGGCAAGGAGAAAGCTTACTTTTATGCTAATTACTAATCTTTTTTAAAACAAACAAACAAAACAAAAACTCACAACAAACAACTTTGAATAAATGCTGATCCGAATTGGTACACATAGAGAAGGAAAAAAAGAGAGCATTTCTATCACATAAGAACACTGTGACCCTAACGTTTACCTATCTTTCCAAAATACAAGAAAAGCGTTTACATTTGAGAAAGCCTGGATACATTGTTTTGAAAACAGAATTTCCCTATTCTAAGCAAGGTCTCCAAATCCGCCATACTTTTAAGAGTAATAGATTTCAGAAGGTAGTTCTTCAACATGTCTCTGTTCCTGTCTCAGTGTAACAGTTTACTGCTCTCTCCGTTTTTCCCCACTACTCAAGCTAAAAAAGGGTGACTTAGACTGTGGCTCCAAAGACAGGCATGCAAAAAAAGGACAGAAGATAGACCTGTTTCTGATGGACTATGCAGACTAGAGGAATTCCAGAATACTTACAATTTTAAAAGGTATATTAAAAACAATAAGGATTTTTGTAACACCTGAAAAGTTTGTACACGCATTATAAAAATTAGAGATTTCCCAATCATAAATATAGGCGGGGAAAAAATTAGTTCTTACAATCAAAGTTGAACACAGTGACAATTTTACCCTCCTTTCATTTTGACCTACAGGAATATTCAAAATAGAATCCAGTCATCCAATGAGTATTAGGTGGATACTTAACACTAAGTTGGTTGCCCAACTCCTAAAAGCAAAGGCATCAGCATGTTGCTCACAACAGCTTTTTTTTTTTCCTTTAACCAGTGTGCTCTTCCATCAATTTATATAAGCAGACAATGCAAGTGGGAAAGAAAAGGCATAAACTATACAAAAGTTGTAAACTATGCAAGTTCACATACCCTAATAAAAGTGGACTATATACAGAAGAAAAATCTCACTATTTAAGTTTTGATCTGTAACCATCCAGTAGAAAAATTCTGCAGTGAAGACCTAATCAAAATTCCCTGTCTTCAGCAGTATGAAGAACGTATTACTTCCACCTCTGTAAAACCTAGGCAACGTACTAGGGAGATTCTCCCAACACTGCCTTGGTGTCGCATCATTTTAAGAAACTTAAGATAGGCGACAATAACATGTTTTCAATCTTTCCCATTGCTTCTCTCTCACCTCCCCTCTGTCCTATTGCTACTCCAAAAATCATCTTCACTGTCTCATTCTGGTTGCAAAATCAATTCTTTCCTTTCAGAAATGCATCTGCAACAAGTAAGACTTTTATCTATCTTCCAACTGTTCCAAGCGTTCTTAACTTCTGTTTGCTTATCCTCTTAATGCAGCCAGGTTGTCTGTTCATCTTCTAGGCTCCCACTGCAAGACTAACCACTCTGCAGCAAGAATTGTTTCCCATCCCAGAGATTGCTAGCGTTTGGATTCATACTTGAGCCAAACTTTCAACTATTGTCCTCTTTCTTTTAATACATTTCAGACATTTAGATGAAACTTACACCGACTGCGCTGGCATCATAATTTCAGTCTCCTTCTTTGCTACTCTATCACCATACAGACAAGTGCAACTGATAAAAGTAAGATTTCTGAGTTTTATACATTCCTGAAATGCCAACAAGAGGAGCAAGTAAGTCTATGTTAATGCAAATCACATAAAAAGAATATAACCATTAGAGTTATTTCCTCATGACAACAAAACTCATAATGAAAAACGGTCAGAAGTTGCTTTTTTGGAGGAGAAGGGTTGGACTAAAGGTCTCTTTTAATAAAAAGTCGTCTTGATATCCAACGTAGCACCCACAATTATGTTACACTCGTATTTCTCTTTATGGTTTGCAGTAAGATAATCCCAGCCAAAACACAAAGCACAGGATATTCTGAATGTTGTAAAAGTCTTAGAATCGGACACACAAAATAAAGCTATCCATCAGCTACTTCCATACCCAAAGCCCTCTTCTGAGGGGCAGCGCTCAGCATACGATTTTTCATATCAAGCATTAAAGTGAGAAATAAATCTTTTATCTATTGACAATTCCAAAGAAGCTGGAATAAAATAATTCAACTTGGTTTTGACAAACAAGCTTGTATTTCTTGCCATTCTTCATTCTCCATTAACTACAGGGGCAAGGCAAAGATAATGTATGAAGCTGTACTTTCTCATTAATAATTTATTAATCCACACTTGCTTTTTGTCAGTGCTCATTAAGTTGCAAAGCAATGTTGACACATCCTTTCATTCTACTCCCACAATTTACACTAAACAAAGAAAACTTAGTTTTTCAAGTTAGTAAACAGTCTTGTGCAAAGGTTTTGAGTTGCACATATTGCAATACATCAGAAGATGCAACAGTAACAGCAAGCACACTAGAACAAATCTGCCTATCCATCAGTTGTTCTTGCACTTCACTTGCTGACCTTTTTTACTTAGATTTCCACAGCTACACATTGATCACTTGTCTTAAGTTTATATTCAGTACCATGAAAAGAAGCCAGCAAAACTGGTCTGAAGACCTATGTTGGTTCCAAATTTCAACCAGGACTCAAGCCTGTGATAAGATTATAATGGCAGCTATATATGAAAAAGGAACCATGCTCAGTTACATCCTTTATTCCACCATTTGTTTGTCCAGTGACTTATTATTTTATTATACAGCAAACACCAAAGAGCTTAATGCTTCATACCTGGCCTAGGTTTACTAAGCATACTGCAATAAGTAATACTTTCCAGATCTTCACGCACCACTAGAAATTATTCTTCACATTCCTGCACAGAATTTATTCCATTCTTGAACTGAGACACATATTTGCTCCTTCCTGAAGGGCTCACCTGAAGTTTGACGATGATCACTAGAAGCATTTGCTATCAACTTCAACAGACAATTTTTTTTTTTTCTACTCAGTGATGAATGTTCAAAAACTTTGCTAGGCAATTTATTTCTACTGCTTCACTACCCTTGTTGGTAAATTTTAATTAATGCCCAACTAGAAGCTTCCTTGTTCAAATTATTTTGCATTATATCCAACATGTATGGAGAAATCATAGAAGTCAAATTCTTTCTACATTAAGAAAGAAGTTAGGTGATTGTGTATCAAGGTCAGCCAGGCTCCCCTGATAACCACAGAGAAATAAGCACTCCCAAAACAGTTCCTTTATCTCCTTCCAACATTTGCAATTTCAGTCAAATGACTTCCCCTCAGCTTCTCTTGCATGACTAAGGGAAACCTGCATAACATTCATGATGTGGACGTATAGAAGTCAGGCTTCCTAAAGTCACACAAGAGGAATCCTCCCACTGGAAATTTAGAGCATACTTATCACTGCTCAGGAAGCATACAACAGCAGGCTGTGCTCACCCTGAGCTTGTGCTACAACTCTGCCTTCCAGCTTGTGCTTGTTTGAAAACCCTAAGTAGATATTCTAGCTTGTGTACAGTTTATTGACTGAAGCATCCAATAGCTTTGAAAACTGTATGAACATTAGTTTACAAAATTCTGGTATGGTTATTACCTGTTCCAATATAGCATTTGGGATAATCTGTACATTTACATTTCTCCACATCATGAGATTTTATTGGTGTGAGTTGTACGGTGTTTAAATTGCCCAGATGTTGTTAAAAAAGAACAAATCAGATCTCTATATGAGAACTTAAACTTCAGCTGTATGATTGAACACTTTTCTCCATTTCTTCTTCCCTTATCAACCCATCAGTGAGGTTCAAAGTAATAATAGTTTTTCCTAGGTTGTAGGGACTCCAAAACTGCCTTCCATGGTTTCAAAGAATCCAGATAAGCTCTGCAATTCCTTCTGGGGCCCACAGGTGAAAAGGCTAGTTGATATTTCTAAAGCACTCCTTAAATATAAGGGAAAAAACATAAGCCTTTTATTACTGCCCAAAATGACCCCTTTCACGTAATGAACCAGGATGAGCCAATCAGACACGATTCAAAAGACTTCCACTACGGGCAGGTTAAGCATGAAAACCAAGCTCTTTGGGTCATGGCAGTTCCTTGTTCTATTACCATTACAGCTGTGTTCAAAATGGAAAGAAACAGCTCAGAAATTCCTCTTTTGTGTTGTGCATACAAAAAAAAAAAAAAAAATCACTCTAGGAACTCACCTATTAACAAATTCCTCTGGCATTCTGAAAAGTTTCTACTATGGTATAGAAGACACAGCTGACTTAAAAATAACATCACAGAAAAAACAGTCTAATAGCAAAATCTGCTGCGTTTTGCATTCATAGCAAAATTAATATATTCACTAATACATTCATTTACCTCAAGATCAGAAACTGACAAACACCAGCCCTGACCATTAGAGAGCAGATTCTTTGCCCACCAACATAATCACAGATTTCAAAAGCAACACCAATTTCATCAAATACATGACTTTACCACATATTAGGAATAATATAGGTTGTTTTCCTAATTTTTCCACTAAGTTTCTGAACGAAGTGCTAAAGCAAAAAAGACACCTGTTCATGCAAAAGACTTTTATTCTTTAGAGTATATTGCCTCATTCTATTTAGTTATGCTAAACAGAACAGTACTTTACAACTTAGATGGGAAACAGGTTTGTAACTTGCATGCACCAAGCTCCCAAAACAAACAAAAAAAACCCCAAAAACCAGATCTGGCCACAAGATGGCCTCAAGACAGCAAGTTCATGCAACGTGGGCAGCTACCACTAGATGGTAGCTACGTATCACTAGTTGATTGCAATATGCAGGTAAGCTCAGTAAAAAGTTTATTTTATTACACTTCAGTTGAACAAAATGTAATTAGAAAAAGCTAACTTCACTGTTTAAAACAAAGATAGCCTGCCCCTCCCCTCTCCCCCCCACGATCTGTCTACCAATGCTGTACGTAACAGTCACAGGAGGAGGTGGGAGAGCACATCTGGAACAAGTTCCAAGCTCCTCTCACTAAAGCACAGCTCCTGACACTGTTCTCCTGCATTTTAACTAAGTGAGGGAACTTATTCTAGGCTCTCTGTGATCTGCCACCTCTACCTGCAGCATTTAAACATATTCCACCCTGAAAAAACCCAAAAGATAGCCATACTGTTTCGTTTTAATTCATTTAAAAAGTTTCATTTTGATTCCTGCTCTCTTAAATCTACATACATCAACTTTATGGAGACTTTTAGCTCCTTACTAGAGGGATGAGAATACACCACCCACTATTTTTGATCTACCCTTATTAAGCTAAGCTTATTTTTCATTTAGTTTTCTAATTTCCCTATGAAAAACTACTGAAAATGAATATTACAGGTCTAAAATGCTAGGAGTTTTTGTGAACTCCTCATACTATGAACACAAGTAAACTTCATCAATTTCCATATGGAACTGGTATCCATAACAGCCAACACAGATCCCAATTAAGCATACGCTTGCATAAATATCTTGCAATGTGTAAACACTCATTTTATGCATTTCATTCATAGGCGAGCAAAGTTGGCAGTTAACATAGCCTCAGAATAATCAAGAAAAATTACGATCTACAGATTATTTTTGTCAAATGTGTAACAGCAGTGATCTGTGCAGTCAGTCTCAGCTAAACAGCTTTTTGAAGAGAAAGTTGCCAGTTTACCCAAGTAAATGTCTGCATTCTTGAAGTTGCACACAAGGTTCAGGGCATGCGGTTTTGGCCAACTGCACGTGAGTATCACTGAAGCCTTTCTGAAGCCTTTGATTCCAGTTCAGCTTCTGCATAGAAGGCTTTTTACTACTACTGTGCTGCTAGCTGCAAGCTAAAAAGTTTGTTTTCAGCTGTGATTTTAAGGACTTAAAACATATTAGAGCCAACAATCCATTTGTCCTCCAAGTACAGTGCTAATGAAGGACTGAAACCAGGATTTAAAAGCAAGAACAAATTCACACAATACAGAATTTAAACAGGTTAAATACAAGAAGTTGTAGCCCATTGGGAAGGGGAAAAAAGGGAAAAAGAAAAATGAAGCCATACCCTCCTTTTGCCCCCAAGAATATAAACCCTTCCTATGGTCCAACTACAGAAAGAGGCCAGACTACAAAACTCACTTTGTTACCTTATATATGCATTTATATATTTCTTACGTGAGGTAGACACATATTTTTTTCCCCAAGATGCAGACACCACATTGTCCTAGTACATTGTATGCCAACATGAAAAAAACCCCTTCCGTTAAAGTTCTGTAACCTGCATTTGCAACAGTTAAATAAAGAGACTGTGAAAGACATTAAAGAAAAAAGAACTAAATGAGATTTAGGTTGAAAGACATAAAGGAGATTTCAGTGGATCATGAATTAGCTTGCATCCTGATGAATGCTAAAAAGAACAGCTACATCCCCAACACCAAGCTTCCGTTCAGGCTGCCAAACACATTTCAGAAAGGGAAAAATATCCTCAGGAATTAGGAAGAAATATGTAATTGGCAAAACAGAAGCAGCTTCTTTCTAGAAGTAACTTATAATGGCTAAATCTAACTTTACTCACTGCAGTACAAAAGTTACGAGATAAGACATGCACAATGCACACACACAGTACCTGAAGAAGCGCTATAGTAGTGCTGGTTGCAATCAGACGTTACCTGAAGACAGTACATTTTTATATGCTAGTGGTTAGTTCAACCTGAAAATAAGCATTGTTGGATATGTTCCAGAAACCCACCCACAGCTATTTAATTCACTATGCTAACACCAGCAACCTTTATGGCACATCATCTCTTTCTCAAATTCGTTCTACTTAAAAATCGATTGCCAGATTTCTGTGATTTAGCCTTTAATTCAAGTTGGTAGTCCAACTAGAAGATGACAGAATTTCCCAATTCACAGTTAATGGTGCAGCCTTGCTATGCCTCAAAACATTTACTATGATTTTGCTTTGTCCCCTTATCTGTGACAGATGCCACAGAAAAAAAGTGCAACATATTTGTTACATCTGGAACAGGAAGTGTTTATATCTGTGTACAAGTAAAAAAATCCATTTATTACAGTACATTAATGCAGTTTATCACAGCTATCTTTTATATTCCATAGAAAAAAGGTACAATTAAGATATACCTCAGTAGGTCTGGGATACAAGGTAACTTACTGAAAAAGGCCAACATGAAGATGCCATCATTGCCCACTCTAAGCTGATCTGCATCACTGAAATCATCCCGTGGTGGATACTCTTCTTCCTGGATTTACAGGTTAGTGATAATTTAGTGAAAAGTTTATTTTAGAATAACTATCTGTAGGATTAAAGTATTAATTATGTTTCTAAAGCGAGCAGAAAAGTGACATTTCTGTAACACGTCCACATCAAGGAAGTTTAAAAGAAAAATAATTCATATTTATAAATCAACTTTTATTTGTTGCTTATATTGACAGAGCCCAAATTTAACTGAAAAGTTTCTGTAGAAGATAGGTACATACTGCCTATTCACCTTAAATGAAGCTAAAAATTATTTCAGGTGGGTACTTTGACAACCAAAACCAACAGAAATCTCTTTTTTTTACTGTAACTATCTTGATATGCAGCCAAACTATTAAATATTTCTTGGAAAAATCATTACATAGTATGTTCTATTTTTTTTCCTGCCAGAGAAGTATTTTAATGCTTTCCAAAATACAGAATAAAGTTCGAGAATAAGGTTAGTATCTTAAAACAAATTGCTGATGCAACAGCATTGCCCTAACCAATTTGACTATCCTAATTACCCACAAAACACTTATGCAAAGCAAAGAAAACCTCTGCGGACACTAGAGGGCGCGAGCACATTAAAAGTGTTTAAAAGTCTTCTAAACTTAAAAAGCACAGTACTTTTAAGTCAAACAAAAGTAAACAGAGATGTCGGTCAAAACGATCCAAAGATTTCTCCTATCGTGTCAAAATACAACATCTTAAAATACTGAAAGTACGAGTTTGTTTCGTTTCTCAGTCTTTGAATTTTAACTGAACTTGGCAGATCTTACGCATGCAGTTCCGTGCACAAGTAAAACATGGCTGCAACTGTAGACTGGCAAACATAAAAGTTTTCATGATGACAGCACTTACTAAAGAGAGCCTGATGAAAACTGTAGAACCAGTTAAACACACCATTTTTATACTTAAATGAGTAACATCAAAACAATGTAGGATGATACAAGTTGAAAGCTGTCAGTAGCAGCAGTAATATGGTCTAGACATGAGTAACACTCTTCTCCTGTTTTTTCTCCAATTAATCATAATGTATTAGAATTGAGATAAGAAACGACCTATTAAAAATAAAAGAAATCAAGGGAGACCAGTTCAAGTGATATTTACTTCGCTGTTTCACCCACAGCACACACTTACTACTGAAATAACATAATTCTGATTTTAACACATTACTCAGTCACTGTACCAAATGTTATTTTGTATATTAAGTTCGTAACTAAAAGGGCATTAAACACAGTGATCTAAAGCTCTGTCATGTGATTGACACATTCATCTTTGTCAACACAGCAAAATAATTTACCAGGGTATAGCAATGATGGTTAAAAATGTGCTAGAACGAACTGTACCAACTCAAGGCAGCCAGCTTTACCCTTCATAATATGGCCGTGAAATTCCAGCTGTGTTCTTTATTTCAGATTAATTAACCAAGATTAATTAACCGGATAACTTACTTTAAAAACACTGCTATTCGCCTAAACAATTCCAATGAAAGCACAAAAAGCTAGTTGAACAACAATCTTAAGAGGCTATAATTCAACTCCACATAATTTCAGATGTCCCTAAATGGTCATCTTAAGTGACTATGAAAGTATTAGTTTATTTAGCTCAACTTTGCTGCAGCTACAAGACTGAAGGGGGGGGAAGGGAGGGGAAGGAAGCGCTGAAAATACATTAAACAGAGAGCTGCAATTGAATGTGCTGATCTCTGAAATGTATGCCACAAAAGTTCCTTTTTCAAGTCAGGACAGCAAAAAGTATTTTCAATTTTTATCTCAGAAGGTCTATAAAACCCCATATAAAATAATTCTTGGATTTTTTTTTTTTTAAACTGTCTGCTAACTACTGTACTTCATACTGGCATTTCCAAACCAATTAGTGAATTATGCTCTATGCAAAATGTTGCTTCAGAAAAAGAAAATTTTGCTCACTACAATAACAAGTTTAGCAGGTTTCTGTATGTGCACAGGCTTCTCTAAGGCTTACATGTGTGAGAAACACGGGTCAACATACAACCCAGGGACATGAGAGCAGACATTTGCAAGTAGGCACTGTTCTAGTGTGAACAAATTGTAATTTATCACACTCCATGTCAAAAGGGAATTATATTAAACAGAATTCTACTTACTGTCTCCAAAAATTGGCATTTGAAAATTATCAGAACGTTTAAGAAATGAAAGTCTCCTGCGCTTAAATTACATTCAGCCTATATCTACATCATTTAGTATTATGTGGTTTTATGATCAGTCCTGCAGACAGAAGACGCTAATTGGCCACTGCTCAAGCTCCACTAATATTAGCTGTCTTTCACATTGCTCGCATTTGATCTAGTTGGTGTCAACTGCCCCAGTCTTTATTCAAAATATCATTGTTTGCCACCATTCACTGAGGAATGAAAAGGGACAATGCAGAATGACTGTCCTCTCTGCTGATGCTTAGAACTATACATAATTTCACAGTAATACTTCTATTAGATACTGACATTTTTATCAATGAGAACAATTATATACCTTATTTTTTTATATATGTTTTTTCTTTTTAATAAGAATGTCATATAACACACACAAATCCATAAAGTACCTAATACCATTTCAGTATCTCATATTGATTTTTGACAAATTTAGCCACGTTAAGGATCACAGACAGCACTTCTTGTTTGCTAAATATGCTGAGATCTCTATTAACAGAAAACTTACTGTTCCTATGACCAGAGAAACATCTAAACAGCAAAATATATTATCAACGTAAATGGCATGTCACACAGTCATTTCTCTAAGCAAAAGAACATCAAATGGTACACAGCATCTACTGAAGTTGAACTTATTAACTCCTCTGAAACTACAGTACTCTGCAAAAAGAGGACTGTTTTTTCCCCCCAATGCTTTTTAACTTCTTTCAGATTGCAACTTAGCATGGCATACAGTGAGACAATCACCTTTAATAAAGCAAAGAATGTGAGTTTTCAGGAACCCCTTGGATAACTAAACTGATATAACTCTTCTCAATGCAGTGGATTTACAGAGAAAAACTTCTGAGGAAAGGGTCAAATTACTTAATAAATCCCATAAATTATACCTTCAGCATACAAAATAATATAGAGAAGTTAATGGTGGGGGAAAAAAAGCACAATGAACCCCAGAAGCATTTGTTTGTCAGC